AATTGTAGTAAAACTGTATTAAAATCATGAACAATACATTTATAACAGACATATCCCCTTTTTATTGATATCAATCCAAATAATTTAGGTAACATACTTATAATACATTTATAATACAAACATACTACATGTTTAATACATATTGCAAAAATCACTCGCGTTCTTAGTGATACAAATCAAAATAACTTATAAGACACATATAATACATGTTTTATTCATGAATAATACAAGTTTAATTTAGTCTATAGATCATTCTCTTGTCTTTCGCTAGTTACGTTTTTCATTCATTCTTAACTCCCTCTTCTAATTCAACTTTAATATTGTGTAATACACTTTTAATGCAAATTTAATTCATTTTGCAGTTTATTGGTTGATTTGTTACTATTGGATTATTTGTTAAATTCATTATTCATACAAGTTTAAATCACTCTATAGATCACTGACTGGTCTTTTATTAGTTACGTTTTTTTTATTCCTGCTTAATTCTCTCATCTAATTCAACTTTAATATTTGTGTAATATACTTTTAATACAAGTTTTATTCATTTTGCAGTTTATTGGTTGATTTGTTACGATTGAATTACTTGTTTAATTCATTATTGATACAAATTATATTCAATTTATAGATCATAGAATGCTCTTTCGTTTGCTACTTTTTGTATTTATTTAATTCTCTTCTTATTCAACTTTAATATGTGTGTAATACATTTTTTAATTCAAGTTTAATTCATTTTTCAGTTTATTATGCATGTCTATTCATTTGTTACAAAGATGACATCATATCATCAAATCTTCATATTTTCATATATTCAAATATTCATATCTTCAAATCTTCATATGTATAAAAATTCAAATCTTCAAATTTTCATCAAGTATGAACACAATTATTTATATAACCTTCATTAGAATGGAAATTGTCGACAACGCCAAAGCAAGAAATAAAATATTAATCGACTTTTTCTATAAACTAAGCAACCCCAATCCTTCGATTTTTGAAAAATTTTCTTACTTTTCTAAAGATCTTCGGCCTTTGATAAAAGCCCTTTTTTTTTATAATATTGAAAGATTACGGAAGAGCATAGAGAGAAGGGGTACAGGGCGAAAAAGAAAGAGAAAAATAGCATAGAGAGAGAGTGTAGAGAGAAAAAGAAAGAGAAAAAGAGAATAGAGAAAGAGGGGTTGCAGTGAGGAAAAGGAGGAGCAAGAGACAGAAAAAGGGAGAAAGAACGTAAGAGAGGATAAATCTAATAAAATAAGTATACATAATATTGCCATATATTGCTAAAGATGGTAATAATTAAATAATATATTTAAAAATAGTAATTATTAATTAAAATGAACCCACACAAGTAATTAATCCTCTATAAAATATCATATTTCATATTTTTTTCCAGTATACATTTATTCGGGACACATTAAGAAAAGGGAAAAATTGTATGAAATAACAAACGATTAATTCAAATTAAATGTTATAGTCATAGTTTATTTTATTTGTAATTCGCAGCAAACATCCCATTTTTTTGCCATCTGGTTCGATATACAATTAGCCATTTTCGGTATACAATTACCCATTCGGTATACACATGTATAAAATGCGTTTGTGGTTGTATAAAGCGAGAAAAAAGTGTACATACAAATACAAATACATATATTTTCGTCCTAAACACTTATAATTATACAAATACAGATCTTATTATACAAATTACTATGTATAAATGAATTTATATAAAACTGAACAATTTGTATAAAATTGGATGTATCTAGCGAATTATACAAATCAAAGCTCCATAGCAAACATAAAATTTGTCATGGAGCGTAATTATGCAAACTATAGCTATAACATACAAATATGATTTTTATGTTTACTATATGTGAAAGCTCCATAGCAAACATAAAATTTGTCATGGAGCGTAATTATGCAAACTATAGCTATAACATACAAATATGATTTTTATGTTTGCTATATGTGAAAGTTACTAAAAGAATCAACGAACAAATTACATAACAAGATCCAACAGCTGCACTAATTATTACTCACACAATCGATACGCTGCAATCAATTTACAAATTAAAGCCTAAAAAAATCGAAAAATGTGAGAAAAATCAATTACATAACTCAAACTCGAAACATCTCAAAGTTAATTTGCATTTAATCTTATAAATGTGGGGAAAAACACCGCTAATTACACAAAAAATAAAACATATATCTAGTTAATTAAGATCGATCACACGTTCTTCATCTTCGCCTTTATCTTGGTCAACATACTTTCCATCGAAGGCTTGGAAACTGATGTATAATATTTGAGACCAATTTGTATCGAAGTACATAGAAATAAAACAAAAGCTAGTTGAATATTAGCATTCAAAATTTCAAAGTACCACGATACAAAGGCAACAACATCATATGAATCGATCAAAACAATGGAGAAGAGAACGATAGCAATTGCGACCAAAAGGAAAATCAAGATGATGAAGACAGCAAGAAGAAGAATGCATGAGATGATTGAACCATAAACAAGTGCAAGGAAAATTAAGTCAATATTTGGTACCATTTGTCACGAGGAATGCAATTAATAGAATGACAAAATAATTTAATTAAAAGGACATTGTGGTAAGTAGTACTATATATTCATTTTCTCTTGTTATATTTGGGAGAATGTTTGATTTGGAGAAAAGGGAATGAAGTGTGTTACACTCATTCTTTTTAAAATTATCCTTATCAAGGCATATAATTACAAATAGTCTCAATAGAGTATAAAAGAAAGAAAGGTATCGTAACATAGAAACAGGTCGATAAGTTTCTTTTACAATAATATTATACAGTATTTGTTTAAAGCTTTTTATTCTGATTTTGATTAAAAGTTCCCTCTTGCGTGTTTAAAACTTTACCATAACATATTGTTTCAAGATCTCTTTTTTCATCTATAATCGGAATCCAAAACCAATTATAATGACCTGACTAATTCAAATTTGCTACAAAGTTCATAGACGGATCATCCAACCACATATACTAGGATGTTCGATGAGTAACACAATTTATGTAGTAAAAATTATTAAAATTGCAACAGATAGAAGATATGAAATCATAACTTAAAAAATATAATGAGTTCAATGCTAAAATTTTAAAAGATTGAACCCATAAAATTTCAAACTTGAATCCACCTCAGGCAAAAATCTCATTCAAGGAGAAGTGCTTTGAGAATTTTCACTGTACTCATATTCAAATCCGAGATCTTTGGTCAAGTAGAGATTAATATATATTGGAAGAAGAGAACTAGCAAGATAAAGAAAAATGTGTCAATATAGCTAAAGACGACTGCCTAGTATACTATTAAGTACTCCATAAAATATTGGAGGAAAATAGTAGGTACATTAGGCAAGTCATCCTTGGCTAATTAACAAAGGTTTTTCTTTTCATGTAAGACCTCTCTTCCTAAATTTATATATACTATGTTTTTTCATGAATATAATATGCATTTGACCATATAATGGCTTCTATATTTATAGCTATGACATTCAATGCATTTCATTTACACAATTTGCCTCATCCATAAATTATTTTACCCTTGTCCCAATCCCAATCACCACTATAATGTTTATTTTGTTCTCTTGGAGGAATATGCTCATTTAGGCTGGAAAAAAACTGATTAAACATAAGTTTTCTTCTTCTTGATGTACAATTGTCAACCGGTGTGGAGCCAAGTAGGGTCAAGGGATTTATCTAAAATCTCTTCGGCAGAAAATTACATTGTTTATATATGGTTAAATTGTTTTTCATGTATATATATATAAAATATTAAATTCCTACGTCTTCATGTGTTTGCTTTTAATATTTTGTACCCACTTACTGAAAATTCGGGCTCTATCGGTGATGGTCAACTAGATTGGAATATTAATGATGCTATATATTGAAGTTTGACATTCTATTATATGCATGGCAGATCATGGTGAGGCAATATTGGCTTGGAATCAAATAAATAGATAGCTACTTGACCTTCAAAAGCAGTCAATATATATAGATGCTGCTGGATATAGAAGAATCACATGCACAATTCCTTCTCTAGCTAGCTACTAGCTAGTTGTTGGCTTGAGGAGACTTTTGTTCAAATTTGCGTTTTTTCTTTTCCTGTTTGTTTGGTCGACCCTGTTTATTTTGAAAAGTAATTTTTGTCAAATGTATCTTTTGAAAAAGTAATTTTGGTGAGTAGTCGTTTATATTTTTCTTAATGACAAGAAAAATCCGCAGCTAGTCAGATGTATTAGCTAGTCGTTTATATTTGAGTAGCTAATACTAAAGTAACAATTTGTACTTGAACAATTTTGAAAAAGTGTCCAATCACCCATAAGTCCTGCCTCATGGAAAAAATTGTGAGTGTTTTTTCTTTACTCGTCCTCGAGAGCTTCCACATTTTTGTTTTCTTGATAACTCGAACTCACAATCTTGTTGAAAATGAGTGATATATATCATCCGAACAACTCCCTCTTATCAAGTTGCGTGTTTTTTTTATTTGTCCACACGTAAATTATGATGGAAGAGAAAAAACTTAATATCGTTCATTCTATGATCTATTGTGCTAAATTGATTAGAATGTATGTGCAAAAAATTCTTATATGGTTCAATTGTTCACAACTATCTCTTCCGTTTTATAAAAAGTCATTCTTATAATTCATAAAATAACACTCTTCATCTTGTTAACTAAAAAGGCATGTTGCTAAATTATGTCATCGAACTTTACGAAATCATTCATCTATCATTTTTGCCATCAAACTTTGATTATTTTTTTTTATTTATTCCAGCAGTTAAAAATTGGATTCACCCAAGTAGCCCCATTTATAAGATTATTTTTTAACGAAAAATATAAATACTTTTGCAATACCATTTTTTTTTTCACGTGACCTCTTATTTAAGGTTCACTTCACCAAAATTAAACCAACCTATCTGAAGTTCCTAACATATAATGGAAGTAGAGAACTAGCATGAAGAGAAAATTAGTATGTTAAGATAGCCCAAGATGACTGCCTATATAATATAATTACCAATTTCAAAATTGGTTTTGAACATAGGCAAGTCATCCTTGGCTAATAAACAAATACTTTACTCTTCATGTAAGGTCTCTCTTCCTAATTAATATCAAAGATATGGTGTTTGTATATGCACTGCTCTTGTTGTTGGCTCTCTATTTATAGCCAGAAACTAAAAGCTCTCAAGATTTTCACAATACAAAAAACTAATAAAATAATGAGTTTGACCCTTAGCCAAATAAAATTATTGCCTTATCCATAAACCCCTTCAACTAGGCTTTGAATTTTATTACTTTTTCCTTCATACAAGAATTATATAATATATATTCATAAAAATTACACATTTTGCTTTTTAAATGAGTTGGTCGTTAAGTTTTGTCTTTTAAATTGATTGGTTTTTAATGTTTGTCTTTCAAATCGGCTTTAGCAATTGAACTATACTTAGTCAATCATAATTTTTTTTAGAAATTGAAGTCATGATCATGCATAACTTGTGGAATATTATGATACGAAAATATAATACATGTTCTGTCAAAAAGTTATTTGTTGTCTTTTAAAATAGGGCAAAAGTGCAAATGACCAGAATATATCCTCTTTTGAATTCAAGAATACTTATCTCTTCATTTATGTTGTCTATCTACTCTTTTAATTCTATTGTAGCCACATATTTAGATCAAATATTGTCAACCGAATTATTACAAAATGCTTATAAAGAAACCAGCTATAGCCCAAATACAAGTCTTAAAGCATAAAGTTCAAATTCTTTAGCATTTGAATCTTTCTGAAAAGTCATGGTCAATCTTTAATTGAATTTTTGAAAAACTTCATGGATAAGAGATATAATTATTTGAGTGGTGATAAGTTTAATTAGCTATCTTCACTGTGGTTTATCTATTTCTCCAAGTTTTGATTGTTTGAAAAAAGTGTTATTGATTCTTTTCTTTGTCTTTAAGACTTTTAGAAGTCGTTTGGTGTACAAGAATAATATTGAATATGATATATTAGCAATATAATGTTGATATTTAGAGTTGTCAATATGGGCTGACCTATCCCATCCAGGCTAATTCATACAAACTTTGAAATTTGACGAGCTAGTCAGGTTGGACTGACCCTTTTTTTGTGGGCCAGAAAACGGTCCGCCCAACCCACAAGTACGTGGGCTATGGGCTATGCTGGGTCAGCCCACTTTTTTTAAAAGTATATATTTTTTTATATAATTTTTTAAATCAAATTATAATTTAAAAATATTATCATAAATATTGACAAAACAATATTACATGGTGTTATTGTTACTACTTGTTGATCAAATCAACAATAAAAATTATCTTTATAATATTTATTAAGTTTGATTTCAAGTAAAAGTATAAATAGCTAAATAGAAATATTAACTAATTGTTTTCCAATGAACATATATAATAAAACACAAAAAATATGACAATATTCCATAGGCTATGACCTACGTAGTGATTCCCTAGAAATTTTAGGAAATTTTTATTTTTATATAGTACATATTTTATAAACATAATTTTTATTTTAAATTTTAATATTTAAAACTTTAAATAGATTTTGAGTTTGGACTCATACTTCTCAAGCCGTACAAATCAACAAGTTTATTCAAATCGGGCTAATTTTTTTTTATTAAATGAGCTCCAAAAATCTTAATTCAACATGATCAAATCATGACGTAGGTCAGGCCGGCCCAACAGGCGTAACCATATTGACGTGTAATGTTGCTATTAGTTACATTGAAAGTATTAGTTAATGTTGTTCTCTATAAAACTGATTAATTATACACAATTGCACATATACTGTTGAATTGGATGAGCCGCGTGAATTGGGCATGGGAAACGTTCTAGCTAGGTGGACGTTTGAATACTTGAGATGTAAGCCTTATTCCCTTCGTCCTATATTAGTTGATTACTTTTTTTTACACGTATACTAAAAAATCATAAATAAAAAGATAATTTTATTAATTCACCCCTTCAAAAACTTCTTGAAAATTTTATAAACAAAGGTGAACACTTATAAAAAGAATTAATTGTAAGGGTAATATTGAAAAAATTCAATTAATGTTTTGCTGATTAGTAAGGTGATCAACTAATATGTGATAACTATTTTTAGTAAGATGATCAACTAATATGGAACGAAGAGAGTATGACTTATGAGATGGGACAATTATGACATAAAAATAGATTTATTGGATATTTTGTTATCACATGTATTCAGATTAGCAAATTAGAAATAATAAAAGATGAAAAATAAAGAACTATCCGAGTCCACAGAATCCATTGTGTGTCCTTAATAAATCTAATCCCTTCAAGTACTCGAGGTTGTAGATTAATTCCTCTCAAGATAAAATGGATTAGTCATTAAAGAAGTAGCGGTACCTCAAATTTCGATAATTTCAACGAACTCAAAAAGACAGCAACGAGATCACACACACAGACACGATCGATCGATGTTGTTCGCAAGAAATGTAATCAGAAGAAGGGAAGAATCTGATTCAGAAAAATGAGATAAAGTCTAATCTATATTTATAACCAACAAAGGGTAGTATGAAAAAATGTTAATTGTGCCTTATCGGAAAGATCACAACTCCTTGTAAAAAATGCAACATTTCAAAAAGGTCACAACCCTTTAGAAAAAATACAACCTTTCGTAAAGGTCACAAACCTTCGTAAAAGTGATAAACCCTTCAGGAAAGTCACAACCCTTCACTTTCTATTCACACCTTTAAAACCCAACATATTTTTCGTCATGTTTTCAAAAAATAATCATTATTATAAAATTTCAAATTTCACCATAAAAATTTATGACAATATTTTGATACCTTATCTATGTAATTAAAAACTTTACGTGCTGAAAAGTGGCTATTTGGAAATTTCACTCGACGATTGACTCTCACTTCTTGTCCGAGGCATTCTTTGAGTGTTGCCCATCCGAATTAGTCTAATTTTCACCTTTCAGAAATAGGGAGAAATGATCTAAACCCTTCATCAACTTGTTTTAGTTTATGTTTTTTTTTTCCCGGAGATCGTTCTTTTACACAATTTAAGATATTTTTATTTTTACACGTAAAAGATTTGAAAAGATATTTTCTTCTATTTAAATTGTAAATGGGCAAGAGATCTCATTTTATCTAAAATGTTGATAACAATTTTGTGGTTAATAATAATGTGATCTTTTTGTGACAACATCCATTCTTTCCTTTTCCCAAGCATCTGCGTCAACTTTGAGAACAGAAATTTGAACAAGAGAATCATTTGCACCAGCCATATAGCATTCCTACAAAAAGTACCACACATATATATTATTCGGGTTATGCTAAATGGCCTGAAAATTTAGTCAAAATTTGGCCTGAAATTTAAAAAATCTATATTTTTTATTTTATTTTAAAATAAATTGATCTTTTTTTCATTTTTAATTAAAAGATATTAAAGTTAAAAGGGTAAAAATGTTTAAAAAGATAAAATAACATAGGTAAAATATCATTTTGGCCAAATTCTGACCAAATTTTCTGGCCAAAAGGATTTTTCCATATTATCCAACACCTAAGTAATTGCATATTTTGTCCTTAGTATTTTCCTTCAAACTCAATGTCGATCCTCGTGATTTCGAATGTATCAATTACATCCTTAACAAAATGTTTTTTTTCACACAAAATGGACCCTAGGTTGTCGCCATTCTAAATTTTTAAAAAAGGCGGAATACATCAACATAAATTTCCTTAAATTTTCCATTAAATTTCATATAGATAATCGAATTACAGAATGTTCCGATTGAACATCTTAACTCATGATAAAATGTTCTTATTAGACACTCCAGACTCAAATTTTGGAAAACCAAGCTTTTGGGCGTGTTCTCTAAAGTATATCACCTCCATTTATTATACACATCAACCTCAACAAAAAGAAAGAAAGACAACATATAGGATCACAACTTAGTGCTTGATGTTTGGCACAAAATTAAAATGGGAAGATAAAGACTAACATGATGGAGAAGAGTCTGTCAACAAAGCCATAGATGACTGCCTAACATGTCAACCAAACAAGTAGCATTTCAGCTTGAAATTGGTAGTATTATGTAGGCAAGTCATCCTTGGCTAATAAACAAAGGCTCTTCCCTTCATGCAAGGCCTATCTTCCAAACATATCTTTTCTTGGTTGTGGTTTATTTTGCTTTCTTATTCCAATATTTATAGCCAATTGATTGAAAGAGTTTGACCCTTTGGCCTAGCTAGTTGCCTCATCCCTTAGATTCACTTGTCTCTCCCAATATATGTTAGCTAGGTTCGAAATAATTAGGTTTCATACGGAACCTAGAAAAGCAAACCTCGAAATACCATGAGTAAGAAGACAAATATATCAAAAGGCACAAAGATTTAACGTGGTTCGGTCAATCGATCTACGTCACAAAAGAGATGAGCAATTCACTATTTAAATATGAGAGTACAAAATATCGAGAGAAGGTAACCTCACACAATTCACTAGGAATAAAAAGAGGTTCACACAAGTGATAACGTATCACTTGTGTCTCACCGTTTCTCTCCCTACACAAACTCTCAAAGCCCCTAGGACTACATTGTGAATACTACTATGTTAGAAGGAACGAGTCTCTATTTATAGAATCCTAAACATTTTCCTACAAGAAAAGGATTAGCCAAGTATAGAGACTGTAGTAGGAAAACTCATTTACCCAACAATATACACAATGATATTCTTTCTGTGCAAGAATATAATACATTCTTTTATATGTTTAATTTGCTCATTCATACCTTTCTCAAGTATAAGAGGTTCTGGCATCGAATAAAAATTCATAGAGAGAATCATATATATATATATAGATTAAAAAAATAAATATGTGCAAAATGCATTAGACGCTTCTTGAATTCCATGAGCAAAAAAATATTTATTTGTGTATAACGGGAAAATATTAATTGTGGACCGAGTAATTATTGGAATATCTAAGGGAATTAGTGTTTTCGATTTGGACCTCTACTTTGTGTGAGGGGCGTTTGTTTTGTGTATAAGTTATTATAGAATTATAATGTGGGAATTGTTATCTCTTGTATTCAGATTAGCAAACCAGAAATAATAAAAGATGAAAAGAAAAACACAAAGAACTATCCGAGTCCACAGAACCCACTATGTGTCCTTAAGAAATTTAATCCCCTCAAGTACCCGAGGTTGCAGATTAATTCCTCTCAAGATAAAACGGATTAACCATCGAATCACACACACAGACACGATCGATCGAT